CTACCCCGATCGGCAGGTTCAGTTCAGTCCAGTTCAGTTCAGTTCACTCCAATTCAAGCCACTCCCCCCTGGCTCGTTGGCCCTTGGCCCTTGTCAAGAGCTTTCTTTTGCTCTCCTTTTCGTTAATATCGACCCTATCCACTTCTGCAATCACCCTCACTTCAAGTCACTCCTTTTGCTCTTCTGGAACCTGGACCCTCTGGCGAGATCTCATCTCTTTTGATTGACGTTTATTCTCGTCCATCGTCGTCTCGATTAATTCTCAACACTTACATCCCGTCCCCTCTTTCTCGACCTCCCGTTGTTCAGTTCCATTCACTCATCCATCTACCATCAATCAACTTGGTTACCTTTACCGCCGCCACCTCCCCTCAATCCGATTAACAGTACTACTGCTACTACTGCCGCGAGTAATTGCTTCAGGGACCAACATTGCTATATACAATTAATTGTACACGCTCGCTGCCACACCCACCCAGCCATCAACCGCCAGGTCCCACGCTCGTTCGCCGCCGTTTTCCAAAATCAACTTGTCCGATCTGAATGCTCCGGTAAAACGATTGCTAGCTCTTCGAGAGAGCTTCTTGTTTTTGGATCCGATTAGGTATATTCACTTGGCTGCCGTCCGATTCGGGGACCCTCCGAATAACATTCGTACCCCAGGACCCCAACTCATTCGCGTGTCACACTGCATCCGAAATAGAGTCCCTCGATCACAACCGACATGATGACTGTTCAAAACGATTTGACCCATCGGGGTGTTTCTGGTCAACAGCTTGCCCTCGAGGATCGATTTGAAGTATTGAAGGAGATTGGCGATGGAAGCTTTGGCAGTGTTGTTCTGGGTAGAGTTCGAACGGCTGGTGCCAACGTTGCTCGCCGAGGTACAGTGGTAAGTCAATACGATGTGCAGCCTCTTGTGTGACAGCTCCCGTAACCATTTCTGCAGGTCGCTATCAAGACAATGAAGAAGAGCTTCGAGTCGCTAGCACCATGTTTGGAACTGCGTGAGGTCGTCTTCCTTCGCACCCTCCCTCAACATCCTCACCTTGTTCCCGCTCTCGACATCTTCTTGGACCCCTACACCAAGAAGCTCCATATCGCCATGGAGTACATGGAGGGCAATCTTTACCAACTGATGAAGGCTCGTGACCACAAGTGTCTCGACAACGCCAGTGTCAAGAGCATTCTTTTCCAGATTATGCAAGGCCTCGAACACATACACTCTCACCACTTTTTCCACCGCGACATCAAGCCCGAAAACATTCTAGTCACTACCTCTGGTCACAATGAATCTGGCAACACCTTCCGCCGATACTCAGCTCTTGTTACTCCCCCTTCAACACCACCCACATACACCGTCAAGATTGCAGATTTCGGCCTCGCCCGAGAGACACATTCAAAGCTTCCCTACACTACTTACGTATCAACAAGATGGTACCGTGCTCCCGAGGTTCTTCTACGAGCTGGAGAATACTCTGCTCCCGTTGACATCTGGGCTGTTGGTGCTATGGCTGTTGAGATTGCAACATTGAAACCCTTGTTTCCCGGTGGAAATGAGGTGGATCAAGTTTGGCGAGTTTGTGAGATTATGGGCAGCCCTGGCAACTGGTACAGCAAGTCCGGTAACCGCGTTGGTGGAGGAGATTGGCGTGAGGGAACCAGACTCGCTGGCAAGCTTGGTTTCTCATTCCCCAAGATGGCTCCCCATGCTATGGACACCATTCTGCAAACACCCCAATGGCCGACCTCTCTGAGCCAATTCGTCACTTGGTGCTTAATGTGGGACCCCAAGAACCGCCCAACATCATCACAGGCTCTTGCTCACGAGTACTTTGCCGATGCCGTTGATCCTATGCGACCCAAGTCTTCTGCTTCGCGAATCCTTGGACGCAAGCAGTCCGACCTCAGCCGAAGCAGCAAGGAGGCTACCACTACTACACCTACCTCTGTGAAGCAATCTTGGTTCCGCAAGTCTCTCATCGGACGTTCTGAGAGCACCGACCTGGCTACCATGCAGGCCCAGACAAAGGATTCCACTGCCCCCAGGCCCGCACCTGTACATGCTTCATCGGCTGTTGAGGCATCTACTGCCAAGGTTCGCCCTGCTGCCGGAAAGAGGACCACTTGGACAAATGGCCCATCGAACGTAGCGCCCATGCCTATTCTTCCTACTGCGCGACCGATCTCGCCGATCCCTGATGCTGTAAATGCCCGCGCCAACAACACATACGACGACTCTTACGCTAATGGACATGGCCAGGGGAAGACCAAGAAACTTGGCCGACAGCTCTCTGTCGCTTCAAGCACAAACAACTACACAGAAATGCATCGGCAACAGGCCGAAAGGGCACTCAATGGGAATTCTGGCCTCGCCTCCCCTCCGAGTGGACAGAAGGAGAGCTTCTTTTCACATCTCAGAAAGCGTGCGCGGCGGTTCTCGGGACGACATCAGACCCCCGTCTCACCCGCCTATGACGACGACCTGGAGGCCCAGGTTGGATGTGGCCCTTGGGCTAGCAACCGGTCGTCCATGGTTATTGACCAATCGCAACAACAGGCTCCCATTCCTAAATCCGAGGTCTACGAATCCCTGGACAAGGCCCTCCGAGATGTTCAGAACAACCTCGATTCGCGACCTCCCGTTCCGCCCAGTCACCAGGTCTCGCCTACCAGCACCCTCAAGCGACATCACTCGCTTCCTCAACACCAAGCCCGGTCAGTAGACAATCTGATCGGTGCTGCTCGAGGTGGACCCATCTCTAGCCGAACAAGGAGGGCCCAAGCGACACATGGCGTGCATCAATACGAGGCTCCTGATGAGGAAGAAGAGCTTTTAGACGAGGCTTTGACTTCTACCCAACGGGCGGTCAAGCGCATGGAGCAGAACCAAAATAAGCCTCTTCGACAGTCGGCTAGCAACATTGGGTTGATGAACCCATACCCTACGCCATCACCATCAGCCAACGGTAATCAGGTCCTGTTTGCCGATGGCCACGAGGCTGTTACCCCCAAGCCACTGGATCTTAACAAGAAGACTGATAACCAGTACAAGTGGCCTACGCCACCATATGAGGAAAGCGAGTGGGCAGCATCAGCAGCCGCTAGCATCTGGGCTGCTGGCAGTCGCTTCTAAGTGTTTCGTCTTGACATACTGTTACGATTACGTCCAGTGGCGCCGAAAAAGTTATTGATATCGACTCGCATGGTCATGGTGTTTGGGTGTTTGGGTTGAGATATGCGACCCTTTTCTGATCTCTTTTATCATTGTTATAACGTGGGCGGTCCGTTTGATATTTGGGCATACTGGCTTGACTATACATACTTTATTCCTCCCTTCGATTCAGCACTCAAAACTTTCACCAAATACCCGGCCGCAGTTTTATGCCGCCTTCTGCACATTATTATTACTATTACCTCTTCGCCATCTCTCACTTTTTGAACCGTTTGCTCTTCTTCGTTTTTATACCTCGAGTATCAAATACCCCCTATAGACCACAGGCGAGCGCAGCCGCAGCAATCTGCTTGAAGCAATACCACACATACCACTCAATCAATTTCTTTCCTTTGTCTCACTACTATATAAGAAAGGTGGAAAGGAGTCTGAGGTGCTTGGGCTAAATATGACCGGCCATTTACTTTGTCATATTCTTGGGTTATCTTTGCAAGCTTGGATGGATAAAAAAGGGTCAAACAGGACGCCTCCCCAGGAGATGGACAGAGTGACGGCCATACCTAGCCATCGTTTGCTTATTGAAGCATGTACAAAAAAGTCAGCGAGCATTTCGTTATCCCCCCCACCTTTTCAGTCAATGCATTGGGAGACTGTCGAATCAATCAATAGATGGAGTTTTTCGCCGGCCAGGATGCCAGACAACGCAGTTTGCAATTTTATGATTAAAGTATATAATTTTACACGCCCCGGCAACAGGAGAAGGGATGCCTTGGTATGAGGGGGGAACCATGGGGTTAATCAACAAAATATCAAAGCAATTACTGTTTCATGAGCTCTGTGCTATTTCAGCTTGGACTGCCCAATGACCTATGTGAACTAAACATGATGGGCTTCATTGAGAATGTTGGCGGTCTCATTAAATCGACAACAAGGTTTCTGCCTCCCTTTAGTAGTGGGGGATCAAGTCAGAATAATGAGGCAACATACGTAGAAAGCGGGGAGGCAGACTGGAGATGAGGTGGCTTGAGGAGTGACATGCACGGTATTAATTGCACAATATTAAGCTGGGATGGGAATAAGCAAATCTCTTAGATTCTGTAATATTACTATAGTTCACACAAGTGACCGTTGGGGTGTCATTGTTACGAGCCACAATGTGGTCAATGGCATTGAGTTTGGTGAGATGGATCTGAAGAGGTCTTTCTTTGTCAAACTATCGAACAATGTAATTCGAGAGAGTTGAATCGAATTGAAGTGGTGAGAGGTTACCTATGGATGAAGTGATCATGGTCACGTGCCCGGCTAGACGAATATCACGACGCTTACCTTAGGCAGCACTTCACCTGTCCTGCCTGGTAAGCCAAGCCAAGAACTGACGACGAGCGGTGACCATTACGAAACGGAGACGATCTCTGTATCTCTTTAAAACGTGCCAAACGCTCTATTTATCCTCGGGGGTCGTTGGCGACTTTTATCAAGTGTTTGTTCCTGAGCCGTACGTAACGATAGACGTTTCACACGGAGCGACCATCGAATCAACTGATTCATCTTGGACGGACTTTGAGAAAGCCGAGAACTTTGCGACGATCTTACCCGTGGACAATCTAAACATCTCACGAACTTGGATCATCTCATTTTCTCGAAATATCGTTTCTTTTTGATCACTCGCCATCATTTCAACCAAAGAAGAGGCTGGACTGGCTCATCTTACGCGGGGGAGGGGTAAATTCGGTGTTGGCTGAAGGATTCATGGACTAATGGACGAGCATTTAACTGAGAAACTCGGACCTCTATCACTATCACTATCGCTATCAATCAGCCCATCATGAGTCTCAATCTGCCAATACGACCTAGCACAAGCAGCCAGCGGAACCGGGACAGTCGTAATAATTACTTCAACAGCTATACCCCCCCAAGCTCCACGGAGGCTATCAATGGGCCTGTTAGAGAATTGGTGAGGGAGCAGACGCCTCTGAATGATCGCTTGATTGTGGGTGTTGATTTTGGAACTACCTTTTCAGGGTGAGTACCTCGACGTTTAGAAAAAGCATGAAGCTAATATTCGTAGTGTTGCTGCCGTATACACTTCTACCCCTGATGACATAGAAATCATCAAGACTTGGCCTGGCGGCAATGGTATCACATCGGACAAAGTCCCAACTGAGATTGCCTACGACTTTCCTCCCAATGCACCTCAAGGCACTGAACCAACAGTAAAATGGGGGTTCCAGTTCAAGCCAGAGGAGTCACGTCTACGCTGTATCAAGCTCTTTCTGGACCGATCTCAAAAACTCCCCTTCTACGTCAGCCCGCTCGACACAGCCGCACAGCTCAAACGTTTCAACAAGAATGTTGTCGACGCCGTGAGTGACTACTTAACTCAGATCTACAAACATACCATGGATACGCTCACCCGTAGGTACGGCGAGTCGTTCATGGCGTCCACAAAAGTTGAGTTTGTACTCACTTGTCCGGCTGTTTGGAGTGATGCTGCAAAGAACACCACGCTACAGGCTGCTGAGAGAGCGGGTATGGGTTTGAGGTCTGAGATTCAAATGATCAGCGAGCCTGAGGCTGCGGCTGTGTATACGCTCAAGGCGATCCAGCCGAATCATCTGAACGTGGGCGATAATTTCATTGTTTGTGATGCTGGAGGTGGTACTGTTGAGTAGGTTTAGCAACCCCTTCACCTAGCATGGCTGACAATGTACAGTCTGATCGCATATAAGATCATCTCCCTGAAGCCGCTCCGTGTAGAGGAGTCTGCGGTTGGAACAGGAGGGTTGTGTGGAAGTGCTTTCTTGAATTATCGATTTGAAGAGCATGTCAGAGGCCGTCTTGGCCAGACTCGCTTTGATGAGATGAAGGCTAAGAAAGGCAAGACGTGGCAAATGGGTCTTCGATACTTTGAAGAGTTCGTGAAACGGAACTTCAATGAGGATGAGCATCAGGAAGTCAACGTTCCGTATGTATACTCATATCCCTTCTTGGATCTCACTGACCTTTCTAGCTTCCCTGGTCTTCCTGACGACGAAGAGGCTGGGCTGGACTCAGGCTTCCTCGTCATGACAGCAGAACAAGTCAAGGAAATCTTCGAGCCTGTAGTTAAAGAGGTCTGCGACCTTGTCCAGGGTCAAGTCACAGGCCTTCGCTCCAAGGGAGGCATTGTCTCCGGCATCGTGCTAGTGGGAGGTTTTGGTCAGAGCGATTATCTATATCGCCGGCTCAAGAACCACTTTACAAGCGCTGCTCCGCCGCCGTACAGCGAAAGGCCTACACATGCCAATGCCAATTCCACACAGGAGGCGGGCTCCATTGAAGTGATGCAGCCAGTGTATGCTTGGACGGCGGTTGTGCGAGGTGCTGTTCTGAGGGGGCTGGAGGGCAACATGGTCATATCTCGTAAGTCGAGAATGCATTATGGTACATCGTATGCTACCGTGTATGATGAGGATAAGCATTCGGTCAGTGAGCGATACTGGTCCCCCTTATGGGAGCGCTGGATGGTCTCTGACCGGATGCAATGGCATATTGCAAAGGTACGTCTCTTCCTTTCATGAACTCGTTCCCAACTCCTAACCCATCATAGGGCGAGGCTCTCTCACCGCTCGCACCCATCGCATTCCACTACACACGCAACTTCCGCCCCGGTCAATCCCTCATCGTCACCGACGATCTCATAGCGTGCGACGCGGACGAACCACCCGCAGCATACACTCGCGACCTGATCCACGTGTGTACCCTCACAACAGATCTCAACGCCGTTCCAAGGAGTTTGTTTACGAGATTAACGACGACGAGAGGCGTCGAGTTTGATAATTTAGATTTCACACTGGAGATGAGGGTTGAGAGTGCGGGCTTGGGATTTGAGCTGAAGGTTGATGGGGTGAGGTATGGAAGGGTTGAGGCTGAGTTTCACTAGGGCTTTGATTTAACGGAGTTATACGTGAGATATGGGTTAGAAAAATGTGCATATATATCTATTGACTGAGTTGATCTTGGTTCTCATCTGGTTTTCTACTTGATGAAGTGACAATTGGTGACTGGCTTCTTAGTTTCTCGCTCACCCTTTGTTAGCTCAAGTCACTGAAACTAAGTAGAATGACTCTACCTCGGGCTTGTTCTGGAGTTTAGCATTCTTTAAGAAATTAGCCTGCTCCTTTGTTCGCCTCGAGACTCGACTTGCCTGAAGCTGAGCTTGCAACAGACGGCCTCGAACAGGAACGAACACATGCTCAACCATTGCTTTCGCACTTCCAATCCTCAGAACAGATACCATGGTTTGACAACCTAGTAACAACTGTGCAATACGACATCTCATGCCACACATATAAAACCAGTACCCATCATCACCTTACCATGCAATCAAACATTAAACAATACAGTTCCAAGTACGTTCCAAGACAACATCTAATATTTTAATACGCAAAAGGTAAGTAAAAACTCCAGATGACCTCCTATCTAAGCTTCCAATGGCCCAATCCCCAAGGCGTCTGCTGCTACCGCTCCTTCGACAACCCCAACGACCACTCCATCATCGCCATCAAAGTCCCCTGGCTCCAATGGCCCAACGACCCGCTAGAGGATGTCCATTCGCCCTGGTGGGTAATCCGCGATAAATCTCTCGCAGCTGTGAGACTCTGGAAGAAGACTTTACTCGACAAGCTCTCGAGTGAGACATATCATAAGCATATGAGGATTAGTAGCATTGTTCTTATGAATGAACAACTTAGACTTACTATTGATGATTTGGGGGATGGAGATGATCATTTGAAGTTGTTCTATGGATTTGCCGCTGATGAGATTGCCAAGATGAAAGAGGTCAAGGGGTTGGATCTTGGGAGGGAGGTTATTAAGTGGATTGGGAATGGGAAAGATGCTGTTCCTGTTTTCAGGAGGGTTAGAACGAGAAACACAGATCTTGTCTAAGAGGGTAAGTATAATTATAGTTTTGGTGGTGAGGACATTCAGAGCACAGCCGTTTCAATCAATACATTAATAATGCCCACTTCATACGAGACTTTTTATTGCGAGGATCTTAAGATGACTGATTCCGCCGTGGCTTATAATACATAATTATTTCATCAACACTTGCGGTCCATCATGATATAGTCATGCCAAAAAGAACATGAGAACTCATCTTCATCGAGGGTGGTAGACGCCCAGAGGTGCAAGACTTCTAATATTAAATTGGGGTGCTAAAAAAATACTTGGTCTAAAATCCTCTAAATCTATATAAATTGTGCCAAGTTTACCTGAGCTTATCTAAAGCTTTTTGTCACCTCGAATAGAGTTTACAACGTCCTTTAGTTTGTTCAATCTTGAGAACTTTGAGAAGTAACTAACTAATTGATAGGCGGTTTAATCCACTGTAACTTGCATGTGCCATAGTGTCACTCGTTTAAATAATGTATTTATAATGTACTGATGATCTCCAATACGTCACTTGAAGATAGATGGCTTGTCCTTCCACTTTTCAAGGTGGGGCACAAACATCAACATCAATCTTTCACACGATGGCCTCTTCAGAGCATGCGTCTGCCCTCTTGAAATGGGCACTTTCTCAAGGTGCAACCATCAACCCTTCAGTTGAAGTCACTCATTTGCCCGAGACCGGCCTCTCGTTCCGCGCAAAAGCCCCTACAGCGCCCTCTGACACAATCGTCAGCATCCCCTCGTCTCTCACGCTCTCATATCTCAACACTCTTCCTGGCCGTGATGACCCAAACCCTTTTACCGCGGGGTTCTTGGCGCAAACACTGCCTCATGTAATTGGTCGCTTTGTCCTCATCAAACATTTTCTATTGAAGGGGGGATCTTTCTGGGCGCCATATATACAGGCTTTACCACAGCCTGAGGACCACGATTCTTGGTCTCTGCCGCCATTTTGGCCAGATGAGGATGCCGAGTTGTTTGAGGGGACCAACATTGAGGTTGGCGTTACAAACATCAGAGCCAATGTGAAGAGAGAATTCACGACGGCGCATGATCTTTTGACCGCTGAGTCGTGGGAGCCTGAGCTTCTCAAACAATTCACCTTGCCATTGTACCAATGGGCTTACAGTATCTTCTCAAGCAGAAGTTTCCGTCCAAGCCTTGTTCTTGGGCCTGAGGATCAGCAACGTCTTCCCGAAGGTGTCAAGCTAGACGACTTTTCTGTTCTCATGCCGCTGTTTGATGTGGGAAACCATGATATGACTACCAAAGTGGAATGGGTACGCAATGAGAGGGTCAATGGCTGCAGTCTCAAGGTTGAAAAGGCGTATCAGGCTGGGGAACAGGTCTTCAACAACTACAGCATGAAGACAAATGCTGAGCTACTGCTAGGGTATGCATTTATGCTTCCTGAGACGGAGGAGTTACACAATGACTATGTTCATGTACGGAAACGTCAGCCTGCAATGGGTGAGGCTACAGAGGAGTATTATATCTCTCTACGACCCATCCGAGACCCCAGCTCCCTCCTTGCACGCTCAAAACAAACCGTCCAGCTCAGCGATTCAGCCCCTATACTCGGAGCTTTTCAACATGTTCAGCACGACATGGTCTGGGACATATTCTGCACGCTCGCGCCACCCGAACAACGCTCGACACTTATCAGTGAAGGCTCGGAGCAGGAGCAGCGAGAGAATTTCTTCAGCGGTCAAGTCAGTGAAGACGGGCGAATGTTCCTTCAGCAAACTGCGGCCATTATCCAGCACAAGGTCATGCAGGAGCTCGAGAGGTTGCTTGAGACGGACGTGGAGGTTGTGGGCGGAGGTGACCTGACGAGGAATCAGCATTTGGCGTTGGATTATAGAGCGAGGTGTAGAAGAGTGCTTGAGAATACACTTGAGGCTATGGATATGGAGGAGTTGTTTGGGAAGGATGACGAAGGGGAGGAATAGATGCCTAGAGGTGGATGGTTGATGGACTGCTCTACTACAGAGCTGAAGCTATGACGGACGTTAACTTGATAGAGACTTCAAGATATAGATCAGGATAGATCCGTGGTCATGAAAAGGATTGGGCGAATTAAAAGGATTTTCGTTTGCTGAGATTTCTCGTTTGAAGATTTGTCTCGTGGTAGATTGTGACAAACTCTCCATTAACATTGGCCAACTTGTCCAGTCAGAATCAGATGCATCTCCACTCTCATCAGCTCTTTATCTCGATCTCGTTGTAGCCTCTGCGACATCAAGATCAATCAAGCATTCAGCGCATTTCAGATATCAGCAGAGGGGACTTTACAAGACTTGGACGATTCATGCCGCCCCCGCTATCATGACCTCTCCATCAGACCTCAAACTGCTTGATCTCATCACCGCCATTGACAAGTATGTTTTGTTCTCTCCCTCTTCACAAAACTCACAAGATACTAACGACTTCAGTGCTCCTCTGGACTTTGCAAAACAATACACCCCTTACTACCGTCTCTTTCTCTCCCCCGACCCTCGCCCTCATGGCTTCATCCTCCCCGCCACAGTCTCCCTAATGCCATGGCCCGCATCCTTCACCATCGACCACGACAATCGCACCGTCACATTGAGTGAACCTCCGTCTGGCTCAGCACTTACAGAGCACGCGAATGCTGCATTCCAAGAAGCTGTTGATAAAGCCATTGCCGATGATCTGTTTCCTATTCTGCACAAGGAACACAGTGAGTACTTTCGTATGGTCGGTGCAAGAGAGTTCGTGCAGGTCGAGAGGTTTGCTGCTCCGCTGTTTGGCATTGCGACGAGGGGCGCTCACTTGACAGGGTATGTACGCGGTGATGACGGTAAGATAAAAGTCTGGGTTGCGAGACGGAGTCGTCACCTGTTCAGCTACCCCGGTCTTCTTGACAGTACTGTCGCTGGTGGTATCAAGGCCAGCGATACGCCACTTGCATGTATCAAAGCCGAATCTACCGAAGAAGCGTGTCTACCGCCAGATCTCGTCTCGTCGAGCGTTGAACCCGCAGGAGCGATAACGCTGGCCAACATCAACGACAAGTCAAAGCTATTCCACTCAGATATCATCTACGTCTTTGATCTAGAGATGCCGAAGAATGTTATTCCTCGACCGGGAGACGATGAAGTGGAGGAGTTCGTGCTGATGGATTGTCAGGAAGTGGTACAGCGCATGTTGGCGGGAGAGTTTAAGCCGAATGTGTGTCCCGTCATGATCGACTTCTTGGTCAGGAAGGGGTTCATCACGAAAGAGAACGAGAGTGACTTTGAGGAGATCCAGACGAGGTTGAGGAGAGAGATTCCTGTACCGATGGAGTCTGATGAATAATGGGTGCAACTAAGATGTTGTATTGGTTCTAAAACAAATTCATTAAAAGAGCCCCTTCAACTTAGATTATGCTTCGTGACCTGGGTTTTAGGTTTCAAGGTTTCTTATCCCTTGTGTGTAACCAGGTATTCAGTGCGTCTTGTTACAGTGTTCAAATTACAGTAGTTTCATATAAGTTGATCACAGCATGAGAAATCGAAGCCATAGATAGGCAAGCCTTTTCGCCACAATATTGGCTGCTGGAGAGTCATCGCCTGTAACGAATATCAAGAATACAATGCCTTTGTGTACACGAACCAATCCCAATTCATTGCACTTATCAAGGCTAAGTATCTATCACATCATCTTCCCTACTAAGTGAAATTTACCAGTGTTAACTAGTCACCAAGTTCTCCAAGGCCTATTTGTCCAGGGTAGTCAACCTCCCAGCACCAAATATCACACTGTTTGCTGGTTTGGCGAGGCGAGGTTCCTTCCCGAACAGTACTCCTCCCTCCCCCGTCAGCCCACCAAAAAAGTCCACCTTACTCCCCCCAAATTTCTACCAGCAAAAGAGAAAAAACCTACCAGCGACAAAATCACCAACGACGAATACTGCATTTTACGATGTGATGCTGGGACAAATTGCTACACGTACTTGACAGTACGGCGATATACATACGTCTGGTTGTTATCGTATTGGTACGTACTTTCTCCTCTTTGTCTGCTGACCTTCTCCAACCCCGCCTTGCCACATCAGACGGACTCTGCTTCACGCCGACAGAAGCAAAGCACTTATTCGGGATGCACTCATGGCCATTTTCCTCTGCATTTTACTCGCACGTGCGAGAACGTAATGTCTACTATTACAGTCTGTCTCCAGTTGCGGCACGACTTGCACCATTTTCAGACCTTTTCGTATTGGCATATCTCTTCTCTATCATGACATTGCCCCCACGGCGTTCAGTCCATCACTGACATCTTCCCTTCCACATCACAACCTCTATGATTCACTTACACTCCTCCAACGATACGCTCTTCTTTCTTCTTTTGGGTTTAATATACTCTCGTGTCTTTCTGGTTCATATTCGACACCCTTGACGCCGCAGAAGCATCACCAGGCTCGGTTACCTTACACCAAAGACCAACACGACCAACACTCCGCTTCTGCACCACGACTGAGTTTATGATTATAAACTCAACCACAAAAATCTTTTCTTGCGAAATGCCACGTTGTCATACAAAAACAATCGCTTCGTAAGTCCGAGGTAATTGTAACCACGTCGTGTGTCGCAATCAAAGACATGCACAGCTTCGCCATCATAGCATACGGAAATGCTCCACGACAATGGGTTGTGCCACTCACTACGAGATGACTTCAAAACAACATCGAGAGATCGATCAACCTCTACGCACCAAACAAACACTCAACCAACCTCGAGCTGTTCGAGCCTCCCGGCCAAGCGTCTAGCAGCAATCACTCATATCTGTTCCAACATGTACGTCACAGTACGCGACAGGATGGGATAACAAAGTTTCTTATCGCTATGGTTACATCTAAAGCCACAAACCACCGACAAGCGGCTCAGATGCCCGCTGCCATCCAACTTCGCCTTGGCGCATAGTACCAAGCAACCATGCGTTATCGATCCTCCTCAGTCAGGGTATCGCTATCACCCCAAAATTATGGC